TTTAAGTCTTTACTTATTTGTTTTGTGAAATATGTACTTTAAATTTCAAACACAAAAAACATTATTTATTTTTTTCAACTAGTTATGTTGAAATTTCCACTCACTCTTAATATTTTTGTTCCTGTGGAAGATAGGGGTAGTACTATTCTTTTGTTTCAAAAAAAGTTCAAATTTAATCAGTGGTGTAATACAAAAAATTCGGATAGCCAGAAAATTGTGCCTGAATTTTTGCCGATGAAAACGAATCCACTCTATGAATTATATTCATTCGTCATTTTGTGCATGCAACTTTAATTTGAAGATGAGATTGATATCTTCTAACGTAATTTAAAAATCTATCACTATTATTGACATTGGACTTTATTGTTGTACCATTCTTGAATTTACCAGGTTACAGATATGTGCTCCAATTCAAAAATAATAATTGGTCATATTTTAGCAACAATTTATTTATAAACGTGATAATAACATTTATTACTTTCTCTTTCAATAGAAATTAAAAAAGAAACATGTCATTGAAATTAGTAAATCTTCTTTTTAAATTTGGAAGTTTACTAGCACTTACACCTGCCAAGATAGAAAAAAATGGACTTGTGTTTCCATCAAAGACATATGGACTGCTCTGGATAACACTATTCACTGCAGGAGTATCAGTTTCATGTATATACAGACAAGCTTCACACTATGGAAGATTGAGTATCATAGGAACTAGCCTTCAAGTAGCTAGTGACATTACTTTACACGTTCTCAATATTACCACTATTATCATAACAACATCGAAAAATCATCAATGGAACAAGTTTATCAAAATTTTCAAAATTCTTGAAAGCAACAATGAGAAAGCAGATAAATTTTGTTTTTCCTCTTTTCCATTATCAAGCGTTGTTACTGTAATAATCTTTACTTACGAAACATATGTTTGGAGTCAATTCATGGGTGTCGAATTCTTTAAAATGTTTGCAGTGGAGTATTTTCAATTTTATGCTCAATTTATTGTTTACTATTTGATTTATGTATTTTTGGACTTGATACTGCACAGAGTCCAAAATCTATCAAAAAATATCAAGCTTTTGAAGATTCAACCTAATCGATGAAATAATTTTGCGTTGAAGAGAATAAAAATTATTTTTTTTTGCATTGGAGGTATGTGTAGATATTTTCAACAATATCTTTGGCTCGTTAATCTTATTATTGATTGGATTTTGCTTACTCCAACAACTATCATATCTGCATAATTTTATCGTCGGGGTACAATACCCATTACCAATTCTTATATTCAGAATAATGTGTATTACCTGGCATATAGTTTGTTGGATGTTTCTGTTTTTGTTTTTAATAAACATTTCTTCAATTTAAGGTCGGGACATTCATTAGTGTCTTCTTGTGTGATCTGATACAACAAAGAGTTAAAAATATGCAAATGGTTGCGCAAGAAATTGCAATTAATTGTGTAGAAGGAAAAGAAAATGAAGACATAAAAATGCTTGAAGATTTCATTAACCACTGTTTTCCTAACTTTACAGCTGCCAGATTTTTCGATCTAAATAGAAAAACGATTCTTGGTGTAATTAATGCTCTCCTTACGTTTTTGATTGTTGCGATTCAATTTGAAAACATTCAAATTTAAAGTGTAAAAGTGTAATTTAAGAATTTCTACAAATTTATTTATTGTGTACAATGAATTTATTGTTTAATGTATTACCCCTAGAACCCTAGAACCTCTGTTTCTTCGTAGAATTGTTTCTGTATAACCTCGTTAATTATGTCATCAACTGTTTTCTCGTACTCTCGTGTTTGTATTTTAATCTCCAACGTATAAATAGTAAAAATTTTGTGAGCTACAATAATCTTTTTTCGAATTAAAAAAACATATACCTAGATATGTAATGTGTTCAAATTATGATTTATTACACAAACAGGTTGATGTTCAATATGTCACTAAAATTAAGACCATATTACGGAGACCGTCTGAATAATGCTTGAAATTTGCTTTTTTGTATTTCAGTAATGTATGGATAATCCGAATCCTCTATAATCCAAAATACACTATACAAGTGGCGCAAAATTAATCACTCTATCCGAGGATGTTATAATCGTCGTCTGCGTTGATTGACAGTAATAAAGTCTGGACAATATTTAGAAAAAAAGTTACAGAAAGCAAATGTAAGATTTCAAAAGTTGAATAAGCTATATGAAATTAAACTTAAAAAACTAAAGAAAATGCAGGTAAAAATTGACAATTACAGTAAAGGTCAACATTGTGTAGAAAAAATTGAGTCAGATGAACTAAGGGCTGTGTTTTTACTTGATCAAATTTATAATTATTCCCTAAAAAAAAACAAGATGGTCTGAAGTTACAGTACGTCATTGTTTTGCCTGAAGGTACATTTCTTCAAAAGGTTATGAATTTGCGAGAAGAAGTCTGTTTTTAAAAGTTCCATCCAGAAGAACTTTAGACAGATATATGGGAAATTTTCAAGGGGATCCAGGCTTGACTAATTTAATTAAAAACAGAATAACTGCTAAAGGCAATAACTTAAAAGACGTTGAGAAAATATGTTAATTTTTTTAAATAAATAAAATTATATTTGCGTATAAAATGTTTTAATTTTTGATGTTTTTCTTCTAGTTCTTAGAAAAAATTCAAAAGTAAACAATTACGCATTTATTATTATACAACCCATAAAACACAAAAGTAAATTTTTGTATACAAGAATTTATCAAGGTTTCAAACCAAAATATATAGATTCCATTGGAGCGCGAACTCGTCGCTCCCCCCCCCAACGGCCATTTTTTGGCATTGCCCAGACTTATTATTACTGTCAATCAACCTTCGACCATATATTAGATACTCTGATTTGTTGTGAAGCCAACATGTGCAGGTGGGGCAAAGGGAAATCACTAATGGTACGCGAATTTGACCCTTAGAGACTCCTTCTCTGATTGGTTCATTCATAATATGTGAACCACCAGTGGCGTCGTAATGTATTCTAATATTCCCATATTACATTGAATATTTTTTTTATATTGTAACTCGGGCGATATGATTGTAGATTGTTAAGTGATCACACCAAAAGAGTCAAGTAGTTTAAAAATCTCGAAATACCACCAGTTTTAACAAGAAACATTATTTATGAAACTTATAATATTTTTCATTTTCTGCCCCTTGCCTACGAGCCGCCACTGAACAAGGAATAAGGAAGAGTAAGCATCCTCTTGCCCCTCACTCCTCTTGTCAGTACATGTTGGCTTCAAACAAACTGCCTACAAACTCGCTGAATGGCGTGTCTATCTAATATATGGTCGAAGCAATCAACGCAGACGACGGTTATAATTATTGCAAATGGCGTCGTACGTCAATCATATTTGACATTTGTAAACTACACAGGTGCAGAATACAAACAGTCAAGCAATAGAGCGCTATACACCGCAAGAGCGCAAGGATGGTAGACGTAAAGAAGGATTGCTCAGGCTCAAGATTTATAAAGTACGAAGGTTGCCTGGTAACTTGGAGTGAGAGACACTAAAGAGCGAGTAAGATGGCTATATGGTGACGTCAGTGGAGTCTTGCTCGATCAGCCGCAGGTTTCAGACTGCCAGATTAAGGGGGCCAACGTCCTGATTTAGCCAGGACATGTTTAGGTTTTTATTGTCTTGTCTTGTTTTACATTATGTCCTGATTTGTCTCGATTTAAGGACCAACACACCTAAGTGTGCAATTTTTTGAGATTTTCATTTGCAGTGAAAACAAAGTTTTTTTCAAGTTAAAGTCTTCTTTTTGTCGTCAATTTTGATTTTGAATTGACTGAAGTTGATCACCTTATGTCAGATTTCAGATTTGTGTTATTACTATTGTGTTGCATCTTGCACTATTTATCACATCTTCCTTTATAGATCTTGTATGCTTTTAGCCTTATTTTTAGTTTTATTACTCAATAACGCAAAAACTATGCATCGTAGAGTATTTTAACCTGTTGCATCGTGTTCAGCGGGTAATTTTACGTCTAAAAAAAACATATTTTAAGCGTTTTTACACATACAAAAAAGATCAGTGTTCTGCGATAAATAGTCATCGAGAAAATTTCTGATAAACTAACAAAGAAAAAATGAATACATTTATAAATTAAAATATTGCAAGTTTTAGCAAAATAAATTTATATTTTTTTATCAAAGTATATTTTACCTTTAATAAAGAATATTTTATCAGTATTTATTTTACCAAGTTCTAGTTTTTTAACTTAATAATACGTTTGGTTACATATCCTATTTTTGAACGAAACCTCCAGTGACGTCAATTCGCGCGAATAATGCGCACACGTGATTGGTGCAAAGTTACGAGGCAACCTTCTTACTTTATAAATCTTGGGCCTGAGCAATCTGTGTCTACCAACCTTGGCAAGAGCGTGGAATAATTGTGTCCATTTTTTGGACCAATAATCGGTCGGTGGTGTTAGCGCAGCGTGCATTTCGACGTCGATTTCCTAATCGTGTCGCTCCAACAGGACAAACATTCCGCCGCTTAGCTACTCGACTCGAACAGACTGGAACCTATGAGTACGCTACATGGCCATGATTACTGCTGGAATTGGAGGAGCGGGGCTTGGTGAACATGTGGTTTCAACAAGACGGTGCAACCGCACACACAACACGAGCCACAATGGATATATTGTAAAGGAAGCGTTTCCTGGTCGCGTAATCTTCCGTTCTGGTGATTTGGCATGGCCAGCAAGGTCGCCCGATTTAACCGCCCCAGACTTCTTACTTTGGGGCTACTTGAAGTCGCAGGTTTATGCCAACAAGCCTCAGACAATCGCAGCCCTTAAAGAGAATATTCGACAGGAATGCGAACAGTTATCACCGGAAATCTTGCGGAACGTCATGGAAAATGCGATAAAACGGGCACAATTGTGTATCAACACTGGCGGCAGCCATTTGACGGATATCATCTTTTCCACTTAACAGAAAAAATTGTAAAGGTCCTGATAAAGATTTCCATCACTCAAAATATATTTTTTTATTTAGTAAAAAAGTTATACAAAAACAAAATTGAATGATTAATTTTGCGCCACCTTGTACCTAATCCGAACGCCCCAATTGTGTAAAAAGATATCCATAATCCTCCTGTATTTCTTTCAGGACTAAACTAAAGCATATCCCATGGGTCCACTTGCAGTGTTCTTGACTTTTCATTGAAAAACTCCTCCGGATTGGGGATAATTTTCACAAAATTTTTCACATTAAAATCACGCGTGTATTGCTTCTGTTGTTTTGATTGTTGTTGTTTCTGTTGGTAATCTTTCAATTTGGGATAATCGCGTTTTTCCATGGCTTTGTTAATGAAATTTTTCACACTTTCTGGTTTTTCTTGGAAATTATCACACATCATGCGGAGATAATTATGATCAGCGTCCGAAAGCACTTCCTGGAGGATTTCAAACTGGTTTTCCGGAATAACTTCCGGGTCAGCTCGCTTAGGATACTCATTGTTTGCTAAAATTTTTTAAACAATTAAATTTCTAAAAATTGTCCCAACTCACTACTAAAAATGACTGTAAATAATTCGTCTACAACTGCATCATTCACGGCTTTATTCTGACACAAATTTCTTGTATATTGAGGACAAGCATCGGGAAATATGCCACATAAGTGATTAAATAATTGGATGTTGACATTTTCCGGTTCATTCTAAGTTTGCTTACATATAGTACTAGTTTTTCATAGGAATCAAAAAATGTTGATTTTTGGTCAAAATCGGATATAGTGCTTTTACTTTTAGCCTTATTCTTAACTTTATTACTCAATATCTCAAAAACTATGCATTTTTTGAGTCTTTGAGACCTCTATAAATGTAAAAAACGTTATACAGAAGAATTATAAGGTTAAAAAATTTTTAAATTTTCAAACGAAGACAAATTGCGTTCCCTGAACAGTTTTTGGAAATTTGAAAATGAAAAGTGTGCAAGCAGAAGTCAGAAAAAAACCACCGCTAAAATTTAAGCGCAATTTGTAATGCAGGTCTGCTAAATATTCTCTAATTTTTAGTAAGAAATTGATGAGAATACAACATAAACATCAAAGAGAAAGAACGCAATTAAATTGGTAGGTTTTTGAAGAACGAGTTCAAAAAGTAACAATTTTGAAACTAAAATCGAAAAAGATTTTAGAAAATGCATCAACTTTAGGCTCACTTCAATAAATTACACAAAATTTATTGCCGATCTTTATAAACCCTGCTTGTATCTTTTGTAAAATAACTTTTTTCTGTATAGACACCCGTTTTTATTCAAGTTTTTGTAGCAACATTGTACTTACTTACAGTGTGGTTCTATTAATATTATTAGCACTGAATTCTCTGTCTTTGAACATTAGGTGTCCTCAGGTATTCGATTATAAAGGCTTACAAAGAGCAAACAAGCACACAAAATTCATAGAAGTCAAAATTTTCACAACATCACAAGATAACCACAAATAACAACCATAAATAAAGTTTAAAAAAAATAACACATTTTAGTGTGAAAATATTTTATTACAAATATTAACTAATAATAACAAAGTGCTCTTTCCGCAGAGTACTTACAACCTAAAAACTTTTTTTTTGTTGAAATGAAGACCTCAGATATCTTATCATTAAAGTTTTACATTCCCCATTTCATGGTAGGTAATACATATAATAACATTGTACATAAAATCATACACTATGTCAATTTTAAAACTTGCAATCGGCAATATCTCTCAACTGAAAAAGTTATTGAAAATCACTCAAAACCGTTTGGGTGGTTCTTAGGAGGAATCAAAATGTCATGGTAAGTGACTCCACCCACCCTTGAATATAATAAAAAAAATAAAATTTAAAATCTCCGTTTTCGAACTTAATTGTAAAAACGGCTTTACCAAATGGGTTGTTGTATGACATTTTTGAAAAGCGTTGTTATGAGCTTTCGAACAATGTATCATAAGAGGGGTCGTGCCATTTCAAGTTTTTGAAATTGACACCCTGTATATTTCAATTACATTTGCACAGTCCCAATTTTCTATAGAACAAACTCAAATTTTTGGCACGTAATTTTATATTGTAATGTAAAGACGTTGGAATTAAGTGAGTAAAGTTTAAATTACATGTAAAAAAACTGGAATGACAGAAAATATTCATTTAACCCTGCCTTAGAGAAAAAAATAAAAAACTGGCGTTGTCAATTTTTAATATAAATATAAATCTGAGAATTTAATTCCCACCTGAGGATGACCTAACGCGTTGTGTTAAAAATAAAATTCTGGTGTGTCGGGTTAAATTGTGTTTGTGTTCACCAAGAGGATCCAATAAGAAGTATGAAATATCAAAATCACAATTTTTGAAAAATTAGTTCTAAAACTTTGTTATGTACTTCCGTATTTGAAAAATAAATTAAAGTTTTTTTATTAAATTAAGAATAAATAGTTTTTGGTGTTTGTGAGCTTTAGATTTTGAAAATGTCAGTTTGACAAATACTTAACCCCAACTTGACATATTCCATAGAGGAGAAAATCAGCTACCAATAGATGGTACTAAACCATAAACTATCAATATTAGGTAGGTACCACAAAATATTTAAAGAAAAAATTAAATTTGTCTTTAGTAACACACTGTAAGTCAGTATTTTTTGACCGTGATCGTATTACGAAAGATACTCTATGACAAACATTTGACAGTGTCCGAAAACTCAACGACATCACTCTTAACCAGGTTTTTATTTATTCTCTTTACATAAATCATTTTAAAATTGAAGATATGTTAAACAATGCTATTTTGAATTAATCATTTAATTCATACATAGACGTCGCAAGTAGTCTTTCTACTACACGTTTACTTTTTAACATTCATAATATAATAAATTATAACACTTACTCAATTTCTACATTTGAAACAATGTTTATAAGCTCGTTTTTCATTTTATTTTCTTCTATTGCACAAGTATTCATCGATTTTACCATACGATTAAAAAAACAGACAAGAGGAAGCTCTGAACCAAAAAACTCACCTACTCGTAAAACTCACCTGTGAAACTCATTTTTTAACAAAACACTTTTATTTTTAGGCTTGTGTTTTATCCAGCCTCCCCACATTTTTTTTAACATGGTATTTTGTATAAATAGGAATAATGAACAAAATTTACTAAATTTCTATCGTACAATGATTCCACTTAGTCAACACACAAATTCAAGAATTACGCAGCATACTTATCTCCATATGAAGTGTGTCCCTGGATAAGTGAAACGACTCTTGTAAAAGATAAACATTCTCGATTTCAATTTTCATTTCTTGTGCTTGGTTAAAGACTAATTTCTAACATAATTTTAGTTTTAAAAAAGTAAAAACCTAATTTTCTGTTAAGTGCCTTTTGTGTGGCAAACACGACAAACAATTATTAAGAAAAGTTGTTTAGAATCAACATCTAAGCCCGCACACGAAATTTCAAAATCATCGGCCAACTTTGATTTTTATTTTTTTATGTTTTAATAAACATAATTGTGAAATAATTTTCACAAATCAAACAACTTTATTTTTAACAGTTCTTTTATAAGGAATAAAACAAATATACATTTAGGTTAATAATAACTTTTGACGTATCTGTTAATAAAAAGGAATATGAAAAAAATGAAAAAATCATAGTAGGCCGATGATTTTGAAATTTGGTATAAAGGCCTAAATGTTGATTCTAAACCGCTTTTATTAATAACTTTTTGTGTATTGTGCAAAAATAGTTTTTTTTTCAAAATTTCCAAAGATTTTTCAAAACTAAAATTATGTTAGAAATTCATCTTTAACCAAGCAGGGCTGAACCTCAAAAAATTAGAAATTAAAATAGAGATTTCTTATCTTTTACAACAGTCGTTTCACCTATCCGGGAACATATTGCAAATAATCTAATAATGAGTGTATAAAACGACTGCCCTACAAATAAAATTTTCAAGGTCAAAAAAAGTGTGTTCTAAGAAAATTTTTGAAGAAGCAAATACCATATACCTTCATGATTTTACTTATTTTACCAAAATCCCACTTGCACTTTGATATGTCAACAATGTAAAAAAAAAATAAAAAAATAAAACAAATTCCACGGGTTGTTAAAATATCCCATTGTCTATCCCAAAATTAGAAAAAGGTTTTGTATTGAAGCTTCCACAATTATCCTTATTTGTTAACGTTAAATTTTGAACACCTTTAAAAAATTAAACTTTTCCAAGAATAGAATTTTGATATTGTTAACATTTTCTGGGAAAACAAATACAAGTTAAACTACCTATTTGAGAGGGCAAGTTGTTCTTTTTATTCCATGTTTATCAGTTTTATGGTTAAAATTATGCTACATAAAACTTGTATAGGGCACAGAAAAATCCTATACAATATGTTCCAAAATAATTTTCGTCTAGTCAACTTTCAAAGAAGGTTCCCRTCTTATGAAAATCAGAAAATAGAAATACATACATTTCAATTGACACTGCAGTTCCAGAAACTTAAGTAAAAAAAATATACAAAAATATATAACATACAAAATAATAAAAGAACAAAACAAGAAATTCAAATAATGAATTCATAAAATGATTTACCATAAACGCAATAAAATACGACTAAACACATTTAGAACTGCCTATAAACTAAATAGAAATCATTTTGAAACACTTGTAATATTTTTTTGGTATCAAATGATCCGTAGTATTCATTACTGCGATTACACCAAGTTGGTTTCATTTAGAGAAAACATTTTGACTTTGTCTTTAGTTTTTTAAAGTAAAATATACAAGAAAACATTTATAGGGTGGTTTCGTTTTAAACAATAAAAATTCAAGAATAGTCCACATTATTTCTACGTGTTCTAACTATTCCTGAATTGTCGCCGATTAAAACAAAACCATCACATTACAGACAAAATATTTGTCTAAAAATTTATTGACTTTACAAAAATATAAATTTTCTCTTAATTAACTAAAAAGGAGTAATCAAAGTATCGATTGAGATTGCCTTGTTACCTTGTGTAACAAAAAAATGCAACAAAAATTTGATCGTTATTTGTTCCCTTACAGAAAAAAAAGCAATCCATTTTAATCATTTGTCTAAAAACATTTTTGTAAATTCATTTATATGAGGGTGAATCAACAAAAACAATATCTACAATATGAAAAATAATATTTTTAAAATCCTCCAATAACATTGTAAATATAATCTCAAAATCTGTTTCTGAAACAATAGGTTTTTCCAAAATTATAAGTAAAAATTACAATAAGACACCATATGTGTACCATTTATACAAAGTGTTTCGAAAAGATTGTGCCAAAATTAAGAGGGGACCTTTATAGTCGAAAATGAGCCGTTTTGCTCCTGAAGCAATTTTTGTCTAAAAACGAAATGTTATCTTGTTCACACCAAAAGACTTCGATATTTAGTCTCAAATTTAGCACCACCTTTTTAAAACAGAAAATTAACAAAACAGACTTTAAAATAAAAAAAAAACTTATGTTATTATTATTTTTACTCTGTACATAATTGCAGACTAGTATAGATGCTTACAGTCAAAAATAAATTTATCACAACAATAATTGTCAACTAAGAAATTTGTTGGTCGTCATTTTCATGTTTATCTACCTCAGCGTACGTAGGAAACTTAGCTGTTTCAATTTTGTCTTTAACTTTGAAACTGGGATATAAAGCTATTTGATTAGTTCTTAAATTCCGACCTTTACTGAAGCCGTTCCAATGATTTCCTGCAACACCAATCAAGTCGCCAGCGATCACACTCATTTCACCGTTTTTCCTCGGTTCATGGGACAACACAGCTATCGTATTGTGAGGATTTTGTCCACCGTAGTAATAAACGTCATCCAGTGATCGAAAACGAGCTGAAGCGTCAGGGAAATAAGTCTGCATTATTTCATAAGCCACTCGACAAACCTGCCAAACAAAAGAGACATGCSTGTATTAATTAATAATAACATTCTCCAAATTATACAAGGCGACTCAAAAAGGCTCGGATAGTTTATAGAACCATTTCGTTTCTTTCAATAATAATTCAAACAACAATTTCATACTGGGTTTCTTCTTTTAAAAGATATTTTGTGTATTATTAAAAAGAGATATTAAAACATAAACGAAGGCTTAGCTTAGAGATGATTTATTTTGTTGGTACATTCTACGATTACCTTCAGTTAGCTTGTAGGTAGTAGTCGTTGTGATAACAATTGCACACGAAGCAACTGACTTATTGCATTCAACATCAGTAGAAAGTGATGAAAAAGCATTTGATAAGAACATTTTCAAAAAAAGTTCAGAAAGCTAGAACAAAGTGAACAAGTTGGAATCTGAATGGAAAGTGATTTGATTTGAAAAAGATTTGCCTTTATATTTAAGACTCGTGCCTTAAACTTCTAGATCCTCTTTGCTCAATGATCAGTGGTCATTTTTACAACAAAAAAACTTTTTATTTGCTTTAATTAGTACGCAGGTATTCTGTATTTGTTTTAAGTAAACAAACAGATTTTGTTTATTGCAATTAAAACAAAGAAGGTGCAATTTACCATTTTTAAGAAAAGAAGAGTCTTAAAACAAATACTTTTATAAAAATGCAATTTTAAGTAAGATTAACATGCATTTCTCCTATATGGAGCAATGCTTGATTAGCAAACCATAACTTCAAAAAATCATATCTTGAAAACTACTCGATATATTTTTTTGAAAATTTGGATTACAACTAATAAAGAGATGCTCTACACGATGGTGATGATGAAAAAAAATTTTACTCGTAGAGTTTTTCTTAGATTACTTCGATTTACTTCGAACTTCTTCGAACACTGTTCGAAAGAAAGTTTGCCAATATTCATTTTCAAATTGCATATCATTCTAAAGGGCAAGTCCATCCCTTTAGAATGGTCTTTATTTGAAGGAAATCGGCATAATAGTTATTGAGTAATGATTTTTTAAAGTTAAAGTATTTTAAATACATTTAAATTAGAAAAAAATTATTTAGTTCAAAGTGTGTGGACTTTTTGAAATTTTTTTAGTGCATTTGATTTGTCTTACTAAGACGAAAAAAATTATATAAAATTTGTCAAGTTGTCACGACATGATTTTTTTTTGTCGCCTTGTGTAAGCTTGCGAACACCATTCGTGCTACACACTCATGGTGTTCATAAAGCGATAACCATTCATAAAAATATTCGACAATTTTTGACTACTGGGTATTATAACTCATTATTTTTCGGCGTTACTAAAAACCAATTCAATAGTTTATGTTACTTTTGGACAATTAAAACATTATTTCAGTAAGTACATTAGAAAATAATTCTCCAGAATTTTTATCAAACSTGTTGCCATTCGAACCTTTCAGGCTCTTGTATCAGTTGCGATGTTTTCTAAAAGTTTTGTCAATTTATTTTTAATTTATTTTCACTTTCTAGTGATATTACAGTGATATTATCAAGACAACTAGTCAAAAATCGTTAAAGTTAAATTATACTTCTAATTAGTTAAGCAGAAGTGAAAAACCCAGCCATACAAAGAAACTATTTAAACATTACACAAAAAAAGTGAAAAAACCAACCATACAAAGAAACTATTTAAACATTACACAAAAACTTCTTCTAATTATTATTTGGAAATGTCACCTACATTTTTTTACAATCTTAAAAATAGTGTTTGAAAAGAGTGTTTTGAAAATGCAAATAAAACTTCAAGATCAAAGACTGTTTGTTCAATAAAATGACAACACTGAATAATCTAGAACTAGAAAACAGTATGTTCCCGGATTGAGTTGAGGAAAAAAAAATTATTTTTGATTTTAGACAAAACTGCAAAGGAAAAACGTTTTTTGCTTCGCCTGAAACGAGTAAATCTGTAATTAAAACTTCACTATTCTGATTCAGTGAAAAGAAAAGTTAAATTTTCCTTTGATATTGGACTTAAATATTTTTTTGACGATGTCACTTTGACATTTAATTAATTAATTGAATAATGATTGTTCTTGTTAAAAATGATTTTGTATTTTTTTATCTTAAAGCTGTTTTTTTGAGTTGCCATTTATTAAAATTATGTTTTTCACAAATATTTTTGTTATTTAAATTTTTCTCTGCTTTACCGTCCCTTCACATTGGCGGTTTTACTTATTTGACAACTACATACAGGGTGCGCCAGAACTCGCGCCCCAGAGAAAAATGCCATATAAGGTAAGATACCAGGAACATGGAAAAAATGTTAAAAAAATTTTATCTATAAAAATTTCGAAGTTATGAATGAGGGTTTAAAGTTTGCACTTTGACTCGACTTATTTCTGTTAAAAATAATTTTCCAAGTTTTTTTGTTATAGGCTATTAAAAGAGGAAACAAGGAAGCTGTATCTTAAATTGTAACTCTGTTCAATGTTATTTGTGGCTTTTATTGGCAAAATGTTTGTCCCTTTACTAAATAATTGTAAAAAAACATAAACAAGATCATCAGTATCATTAAATAGATATAAAAAATGTCAAATGTGAAAAAATAAATGTGAAAATTTTTTGACAGATAGAATTTTTAAAACATTTTTTTCATGTTCCTGTACCTTACTTGAAAATTTTCTCTGGGGCGCAAGTTCTTGCGCACCCTGTATATGTCACTTTGACAATTAACTCATTAATTGAATATTCATAGTTCTTATTAAAAATGACTTTGTTATCTATCTTAAAGCTGTTTATCTGAATTGCTATTTACTAAATTACCAGTAAATTTTTCAGAAACATTTTTTTATTTAACTTGCGTAAACTCATTTTTCTAAATGCCGCCGTTGTCAAAAAAATAAAACCGCCAATGTGATAAGACTTAAGAAGCAGAGAAAAATAAGTTAAATAACAAAAATGTTTGTGAAAAACATAATTTTCATAAATGGCAACTCAAAAAAACAGCTTTAAAATAAAAAATACAAAATCATTTTTAATAAGAACAACCATTATTCAATTAATTAATTAATTAATTGTAAAAGTGAAATMATTATCAAAAAAAAATTACTTTTCTTCCTACTGAATCAGAATAATGAAGTTTTAATTACAGATTTCATCGATTCAGGTGATGCAGTTTTGGAAAAAAAAAATTCCTCTTGTAAACATATACTGTACAAGGTGTCCCAGGTTTTAAAGCTGGCGCAAAAATTAATATTTCTAATTGATTAAAAAAAAATTTTCATAATATAAACGATAGAGGATTAAATACACCTTCTCTTGATGTTTTGATATTGTACTATATTTTTATCGTATGACAGCGAGACTTTGAAATTGAATTTGGAGAAAAAAAAAATATTCAATTAACTGAAATATTTTCTATATGACAATTTTTTTCATACACTGAAAATCCCATAAGCCGCGGTGTTTTTGTCACTGTGACAACGACAAAAGTTTGCCCTAACTATTACAGCGACAAAACGGAACCTAACTTTTGAAAGTGTCTGAATCTAGTAGGTCTGCATCATCGGATTTACGTATTCATTAAATTGTCTTACCGAATTACACTCAAGTTTTTTTTTATGAAGAAAACTTGACATTTTTAATTCGAGTTTTGTTTCCTTTAGGCAATTTAACTGCCAGAAGCGGTTTTTTGCGTTAAATTGCCAGAAAACAAAATTCTCATTAAAATGTCAAATTTACTTCGAAAAAAAAAAAGCTCTCGTGTATTTTTACAGTTACCATTAGAAAAAAATCAAGAGAGCAAATTCCAAAATTGAAGGCTATATAATCCTCTATCGTTTGCACTAGCAAATTATTTTTTAATAAATTAGAAATATTTATTTTTGCGCCGGCCCTAAAACTTGGAACACCCTGTATAATATAAAAGTTTATGTGTGATATGTTTTCTATGTTTACAACACGACTTTCTTGATTATTAAGAGAAGTTTTTCTTATACGTCCCCTCGCTTCAGCGAAATGTCTGTTTTTTTGAAATGACATAAATAGAGTGTACCGAGCGCCGCGCCGTTTATCTGATTCAAATTTAAATTTATCATAAATCAGCAACTGCAACAACACATGTGTAAGTTCGACTGCATACTTTAATTTCTATAGTTTTCTCTAACTGTCATAATGTTTTTTTTTTTTTGCTAAACAAAATGCCTTTAATAAGACGTTGTTGCATTAGAAATGACAAATTACGAGTATGCCATTTACAGAATGTTTCAAATTCAAATTTTTGTGAAAAATGAAAAGAGGCATTAACCTAAAATTAACCTTTGTGAAACATTTTGTTTATTAAATTTTATTTATGTAGGTATTATTAAAATTATTGAGGTAGGCAACCACGTACGCACCGTACCGCAGCGCCTCTGCAAAACAAAAATAATGACTTGAACTATTGATGCGAGGGGCCGTATAAGAGAAACTTCTCGTAATAATCAAGGAGGCCGTAATCAAAATAATTCGATGTTGCTAACTTAATAATTTTCAAATCATTTAAATCTAAATTTGAATTGAAGATAAATAAAGGTTTAACACTTACCTGAGATGAGAAAGTACAAACTAAGTAATCACTCATAGCCAACATGTGAATATCATTAATAATACCAAACAATGACGAATCGGAATATCTTGTTGAAATTGCCGCAGTCTTAGAAATAGAAGGATCACCCAAAATTTCATAGTGTGGATATTTACTCTTGGCATCGGCAATGACTTTCGGATCATCAGTGGCTAAATAAATTCTTCTTTTATCAACGTTTTCTTTTAGTTCCAACTGTTTATAGTATTCGTCAACAGCAGTCATGTATTCTTCAATACCATGATAAGCAGCTTCTGTTCCAACCTTATCCGTTCTACGTACATGAACTCTGAAAAAACAATAAGTCAAAATGGCAATGATAACAGTGCATAAAAATTCGCTTACCCTACAATAGGTCTTTTAAATCCCATGTGTGTCATCGTTTCTTGCATCACTGCTACAGTTTGAGATTGTGGCCTAAGAAGGTACTTCAAAATTTGTCCTACCCACCAAACTATTGGATCTCCATGTAGTCTAGTCAATCGAGGAGCTAAATCTTCTGGAATGGCTAGTGGTAAGAAAGGAGGACGTGGAGATAGTGAATCAATTATTGGTAAATTAACTACTTGAGTTTCTGTGTTGCCTAAAAAAAAAGTAAAAAAACGCATAGTTTTTTTTTTATTTAGGCATATACCAGGCCAGTTGCTGACAGATTTTCCACTGGGGTCCACACAAGTATCACTGATAGGTTTAAAAATTTCTTCCCATCCAGCTTTATGATAACGCCATCCTTTTGACTTCAAAATCAATGTACGCTTTGTTCCATAAGCTACCATAAAGCAATACACGGCATGGTGTAATTGGCAACCATATCCACATCCCTAAAACAAAAAAAAAAACATCCGCTTATACAGGGTGTGTCAGAACTCGCGCCCCAAAGAAAATTTTCAAGTAAGGTAAGATACCAGGAACATGTAAAAAATGTTTAAAAAATTCTATCTGTCAAAAAATTTTGACATTTATTTTTTGACATTTGACATTTTTTTATATCTATTTAATGATACTGATGATCTTGTATATGTTTTTTACAACATAAAAACAATGATTTCCTAATTGTTAAAAAAATTCAAACAAACATAATGAGTTTCTAATTAATATACTTATAAAAAAGATTTCTTATATTCCTAACACCCTAACAAGCTGTCTTAACTTTTTGTATAATAGATTTTTAAAAAGAGGATATTTTCGCCAAAAAAAAAACAACCTAATTCAAAAACTAAGCAAAATCGACTTATAGAAGTTTACCTTAAAAACATTGAAATTAAAAGCTACATTCAAAAATGCCAAGAAACGTATCGTGTTTCATTTAAAAAACTTAAGTTTGTATTGTAACTTATTTTTAGGCTACCATGTATAAACAAAAATATTTTCATGAAATGCGCTCTAGAATATAAATAAAGTCTACAAAATATCAAAATTCCCTCTAAAATAACAACTGAGCTACAGAAGACCGGAGCTGAGATGAATCACTCTCACTCTGTATACAGGGTGTTTCACATAATTTTACGAAGCCTGCGCCTGTAAAATGCAATCAATAATACATATTCCGATACGAACTCGATTACAAATTTTGAAAAATTGAATAATCTTCTCTAGTTTGTTCACCCTTTAAAAAATTACAATGTTTTTAGTTAATTAGTGATTAAGATAGATAAACTAGAATCATATTCATGCCGTCTCTTGATAGAACAAATGATAATTGTTTCTGAAAAACTGCAGTTTATGATTATTAATGAAACAGTGATTAGTTTGACAACTACTGTCATGGGTTTCCAAAAATTAAATAGTTAGAAGTGTATTTTTTGTATCTAGTGTTTTGTGACTTTTGAATATTTGGGTGCGTATATTAGGCGCAAGCCTCGTAAAGTTATGTGAAACACCCTGTATAAGAGTGCCGTGACTGACTGACATACAACGCACAGCCTAAACCACTAGCTAGAAACATGAAATTGAAAGAGTGTAAAGGTCGCTGTGAAGGGATTTTTCGAAAATCGTTCGCTAAAAGGGTGAATGACAGCGATTTATGTGACCATGGTCATTCGTTGCAGCGGATATCACTCATTTAAAATTAATAGTTTTTATTTTCAGCGTTGTGCAATCCTCATTTTAAATTAAAATATTTTTGAAACGGTCAATTTTAGTGGTAGGTATAAAAGGTTATGCGTTTTTTTTTATTTGAAATTGATTACTTTACCGACTTGAGCAATAAAAAATAGGTGTTAAGAGAGCAAAAAAAGGTATGTTCTCGCAAGTAACTATTCCAAATTTTATAATATTTGGTCAAATGGTTCCAAAGTAATATAACAATTTTTAATAGAAAACATTAACGTATTAAATTAATTCGGTTCTGGATTCAAAACCGATCCCCAGAACTGTACCGCTGGATGGTAATTTTTATTGCTATCTCGAGTTTTTTTTTTGCATTAATAAATTATTTTTTAAATTATTAATAAAATGCTAAATTAGGTAATTAAAATTGAAAACAAATATCAAAAAGGATTGAATTTAAATTCTATCTTTTCTACAGTAAAATATTTACAAATTGATTTTGATCAATTGCAAACGAAATATTTTGTAAAATCGGTTTTTCAAGTTTTACGAGAGAAATAAATTGATACTAGAAAATACACAGTTCTTCTTGGTAAATTTAGATATCAATTTATAGATATGTTTAGGAAATTAAATAGACACATTTCGTAATGTTTTCAGTGTTTTAAAAAGTCTTAAAGATCTGGACAAAACTTGACACGCCCTCTAGTCAAAAATAATTTTAGTCAAAACAGCATAGGCAATAATATTGTATTCATACTCTCAACCTAAAGTCGAATTCTCAAGTTTAAACTATTTAAGAAGTAATTATAAAGCACATCATGCAAAAAAGACTTTTCTTACCTTATTCAAACTGCAAATTAGCTTTTTGGCAGTTTTACAATCGGCCGGATTTTGTAAATAATGAAACCTCTTTTGTACAAGTGCACTCAAATCATTGGCTTCCTTCTCCCTCCAAGTAGCATAACCATCCACCTCAGCCAATTGATCAATGTCATGCAACAAAGACCTTTTATGTTCAACACCCAAACTCAATAAGTATTTAATAGAGTCTACAATTTCTGGAGCTGTTTCATGAGCTTTCTTTTGAAGATCCAACAAGCCTGAGTGAATAAAATACCAAAATTCTTTAGTATTACTATAAATTCTACGTCGTAAAAGTTCATATTGTGAATTAGGCTCTTCTTTGGCACTAACATAACCCACTTGATTCTTGGTAAAGGCATGTTCAGCTTTTGTTAAACGATACTGAAAATTTTCGATAGCTTCCTTCTGATCTCCTTTCAACGAACTGAAAAATTCAAGTTTATTACAATTGAATTATTAAAATGACTCGCTGGTTATTTACTCCACATTAATGTCTTTGAAAATCTCCTGTAGTTCATTGTTTTGTTTCCGAAGAGCTTCCAAATCTGCTAATGCTCTGTTTAAGCGCTCCAATGTTCTTGTCTCTCCTGATGGCATATGAGGACCCAACATTGGCAATGCCGTAAAAACTAATATGACTAGCCAAACAAAAAGGAAGACAACTAGCATTCGATGCCATCCGACGACATTTATTCTTCTTAATATCGCATCCATCTCTAGACTTATTTGTGGGTTATGTTACACTTTTCCATGTCAGATTTCTGTATTGTATTCACTTAAATCTTATAGAGATAACACTATCTTCACACTTACTATTACAACGACACATTTGACGTTATTTACGATAAACCCATTCAATCTTTACAGGAAATGTTAAAACTGTTTACTATGACAAACAGTACTTGTTAATAGTTTGAAAAACATACATTAAAACTTCACAAAACTTGTCATTTCCTTACTTTCTAACATAAATCTGTGCCAATTTGTTATGGCCAAGTGATTAACAACACAATAAAACAACCAACAATTATTAACAATAATATGACAAATCTACTTGAGTTGACTGAGTTGTAGGTACAAAACACCTAAAATACAAACAACCTACGAGTTATCAAGTTGACTTGTACCTACTCAAAAGATGTTACAGTCGACCAGCAAAATGTTGCGCACTTTAAACAACAATGCTGTTTTAAATTAACAACATATTATTACGTTAACAATAATCTAAAACAATTATTGAAGGTACAAAACACCTACGAGTTGAAAAACAAAATGAAATTCCTATCGACCAGCAAAATGTAGCGCACTTTAAACAATACTGCGTAGGTTTACTGGAAAATTGGGACGGACGATTATTCATCCGCATTATAACATTGGATATTTAGTTTATAAAAAAATTAAGGTTAGATCGTAATAACTAGTCGTGCTTAATGTTAGAATAACAAAAAAGACGTTAAAGTAAATGGTTTTCATATTTTCACCTAAGTGCAAACTAAAATGATCATTTTGTTGTAGATTCCAAAAATGGCATTGCACCTAACCAAACAATTTCTAAGTATTTGCAAAAGTCAAGCGAAGGCTTTTTCAGGACTACCAAAATTAAAACGAACCGAAGCTCCTTGCATTATAAGCTGCAAACGTCCAAAATTGAACCATTATTTAAACATGATATATGACAATTTTGAGGAAATTCCTTTGGCTTCAAAGGGTTGGAACCACTCAAAATCAAAAGGCGACATTTTCACTGTTAACCCCTTAAGTACACCGAATGAAGAAACGATACCGTTTCATTTGCTCAACATTGACTCAAACTTGATCGAAGCACTAAAAAAACGAAATATTCAAAGTGCCACAACTTACCAAGCAAACGCACTGTCTCTATTCGCAAAGGACAAACATTTATTGTTTGCTGCGGAAACAGGTTCCGGCAAGACAATTTCGTATCTATTACCGATAATCCACAATTTGATTAACAACAAAACGACGAAGTTAAACAGTCCTCAAGCCTTGATTCTTGTACCTAACAGAGAATTGGCGTATCAGGTCGGAGACGTCGCCCAAGCACTTGCTCAAGCAGTTGAACTTAACGTGAAAATAATTGTAGGAGGGCGTACAAAAAAAGTAATGATGAATCCGGAATTCTCCGAAATTGATATTTTAGTTGGCACTCCTGGAGCACTAGGGAAGCTCTGCACTGTAGGGGTTTACAAATTGGATAATTTGCAGTATGCAGTTTTAGACGAAGCTGATACTTTAGTAGACGATAGCTTCGTTGATAGAATCTCGTCTATAATCAGGAGAATTCCTCGAGCTAAAATAATTCTAGTATCAGCCACAATGCCTAAAACTCTACCCCAAGTTTTAAAACCAATAGAAATCAATCTAGAACAACTAATATCACCAAAATTGCATAAACCSTTACTAAATATCACACAAAAGTTTATGAGAATAACACGATCAGAAAAACCATCGCATTTATTACAAATCGCTAAAAATAACAAACGACCGATGTTAATTTTCACAAACAGGAATGAAACTTGTAATTGGTTAGCAATGTTTTTGCGCGAGAACGGAGTCTCATGTTCGAATATTAACGGTGATATGAATTATGCAATCAGAATAGAACAATGGAACAAGTTTATTAGCGGCGAAACTAGAATTTTATCCGCCACAGATGTTGGTTCAAGAGGTTTAGATACGACACAAGTTGATCATGTTCTAAATTACGACTTCCCGATCTATTCTGCTGATTATTTGCATCGTATTGGGAGAATCGGACGATTGGGGAGTTCGAGAACTTGCAAAGCGACGAATTTTATTTCAGGACCTGAGGAAGTTCGACTAGTTCAACAAATTGAGGTAAAAAAACTTTAATAATCCCTCAATTTGATTTTTTCTGTATTTTTAGTTGGCCATTCGTAAAAATCAGCCTCTTCAAAACGTCGATGGAAATATAACAAATATTGTACAAAAAAAGATACAAAAAGGAATGCGTCAAGCAATGTAAAAACTATTTTATTTCAAATATAAGTTATTAAAAATTGCATTTATTTATTATCGCTAGAATCCTCACTGTCGGTATCACTAGATGATTGTTCGTCTTGTATTTGAAGTCTATTTGTATTCACTAACAAATCACTATCTTCTTCACGATTCTTTTCATCGTTAAATTCCGGTGGCCATACATTGTCTTCTTTGTAACATTTGATGTGTTCATTTGTCAAAATTCGCACTATTTCGGCTTTTACTTTATCACCTTCGCTGATTGGTTCAACGAGGACGTAATTGCCACGTTTCACCCATATATTTTTACGGAATTTTGTGGGCATGGACACCAAATAAGTGGACTGGTTCGGTGCTAAAACTTCGTGTAAGTTGTTGCCTTTGGTACTAAGGATTCTGACGATGGTCTGATTTTCCGTTGGTAAAGACAAGTCGTCATCAAGTGCTTCTTTGAAGACGTGCTTCCTTTTGGTTTTACGAGACATTCTGGAATGTAAATATTTTGTTAAAATAGTACCGAGAATAAATAAAAAAACTTTTTGTGTTTAAAAATTGGAAAATACATTTTCAACATATGTATACCTAGATGTTTCTGGTTTTGTTTTTTAATAACATGTAATTATGTTTTGTTGCAGTATTTTTGAAGCATACATGTAGAAAAAAAATATCACGAAAAATCATGTAGTACAGTTACGGAATTAAACTTTCGGGAAGTGTTTTTCTGTCCCTTCAAAAAGTTCACTGTAAACTACCTTTTACTGTCATCATGACTGACATTTAACAATTAAACTTTTTTGTCAGTGACGCTATTTTATAAGACAAAATGACATAAACATGACAGGAGTAAAAAATGAGGTTATTAATGTAAAGGTTGTTTTAGAGTTTACATTGTGAAAATGACAATACTGCCCGAAATTTTAATTCCGCAACTGTACCTACTATTTTACATAGTATATCAATTTTAGAAAAAAAAATTACAAGGTTTGTAAAAACACTACCGACATATAGCTTCGGCGCTGATCCCACGATCAAAAATAAACCAACAATTATGTACAATTTTATTCAAATCCATTTTATGTTTTGTATTTTTTATTTGTAAATTACTTTAGTAATAAATGACATTTTTAAAGCAATTGTTCTTTTATAAACTTCAAAACGTACTAACAATTTGGGGAAGTTATCAGAAATTGGTAAAATTGTTTAATTCATTTAAAATGAAAACCCATTGTCAAAACGCAAGTTTTAAATCAGTTGTTGATCTACAGATGTATCTACATTTTTTATTACAGTATATTGTGGTACAATTGCGGACACAGAATTTTGGACATTACATTTATGTCAATTAAAAAATGTCAATGTAAGCCACGGTTWATTCTCATTATGACTGACTAAAACTTGAAAGTTTTAATTGAAATTTAACTCCGCCTATAGTGGTYCTTCTAAAAATTCGCGAGGTTTAACAGTTTTTTAACGAATAACTACTAGCAATCTGATAAGTAAGACTCGGATTATATGCGCAAGCGCAGCATATATTATGCACAAAAATATGCACAAGAATTAAAAAATATACCTTTGTAGGACATTGACAGATACTAATCTAGTCCATCGCCTAAAATTATTTTCAACTATACAGCGAATCTCAAAAACTTGTGTTTTTTTAAATAAAACATCATATGTTTCTTAGCGTTTTTGGATGTAGATTTTTATGACAATGTTTTTAAGCTAAACTTTTATTGGTCGATTTTGCTTATTTTAAAAAAGAAGACGATTTTTTTTGACGAAAACATGAACTTTTAAAAATTTATTATCTACACAAAAACTAAGACATCTAGAAATATTTTTTACTACCGCAAAGAAGAAGGTACAAGCTATAAGGTTGTAACATTTTTTTTTAGTGTGTTGCATTTGCAAAGATAAAAAACGGAGGCATTTGTTAAAAGTTCAATAACTTAAAAAAATTAAATAGAACACCCTATTTATTGTTTTTGCATTTAAAAGATTAGATTGTCTTTATAAAATTATTCACTTTTAGGTGTTTAAAATCAATAACTAAAAAGATATTTAACGTTAAACAATAAAAAAAATAATTACTATTGTTTCAGTAGCCAAAAAGTGCACAGTTGCACAAGAGATGAAAGAAATATCACCTAATTACCACATTTGTTCAACTGAATCCATTATTCTTTATTTTTACAATAAAATAATCCAAATTTCATTATTTATAACGACTTTTACAATCTTCGGATAAATCAAGGGATAAGTGATCCGTGGTGGAATTACTATGGTTGACATAGTATAGGCATTGTTGTTACAATAAATATTGAATGTTAAATATCTTTTCATTTATCAATTTTAGGCATTTTTTTAGATAGACAATTTATCAATCTATTAGATACAAAAATAAAAAATAGAGTGTTCCATTTAAAATTTTTAAGTTATTTAAGTTTTAACAAACTTATTAATTTTTACAAATGCAAAACACTAAAAAATTGCTACAGCTTTAAGTTCTGTACTTTCTTCTTTGTTCTAGTTGTCTTGTGTAATGAATTTTTAAAAAGTGCATGTTTTCGTCAATATTATCGTCCTATTTCTGCAACATTGTTTTAAAAGGCTACATCCAAAAATGCAAAGAAACATACGGTATTTCATTTAAAAAAAAAACACAAGTGTGTATCGTAACTTATTTTTGGGACATGCTGTATGGTTGAAAATAATTTTAGGTGATGCACTAGATTAGTATCTATCAATGTCTTATACATTTTTTTTTTAATTTCACTATTTAAAGGTCGCTAATGGCCTTTTTCAACTCGCTGGGACACCCTGTATATGCCAAATATGCATCGATATGCAAAACTTTTAACAATAAAAAATCAAATTTGGGATAAATTTTTATCCTCGAGTAGACTAAACTTTGTATTTTCGGCATCTTGAACTGCACACAATAAACAAAAAAGAATAAATAAATTAGTTTTGCCTCAAACATGCCATTTTAATTACCTAGTAATTAAGCCTTTCTAAGAAATCTATACTTTTCAGATCACATCACTTTAAACAATTCTGCTAAAATTCATTTGCAGAGAAGGATTGTCCACATAGAAGGATTTATTCGTTTTAAATAGAAAATAGAAAATATAACTAAACGTTTTTTGCTTAAAGTATTGAAAAGTATGGAAAAACTAATTGATGAATTATAAAGTACTATAAAAATGTGATGTTTTATCAAGGATAAAAATTTTTGATTTTTTTTTGTTTTTGAGTTCTACAACAATATTTATTTTTTTTTAAATGGCAACCCACAAAAAAAAACATTGTTCTCATGAAGGTCATGATTTAAGGTATTACAACTAACTACTTTATATTAAATTATTTTTTTTTACATCAATTGCAATTTTGACAACAAAAATCGAATAACTCAAGAACAAAACAAAATTTTGTTCTCAAAATAAGATCTTTTTTTATTATTTTATTTTATTTTTATATTACTTTGATTTATATTAATTATTATTTTTTCGAAACAAATGAATTAAAAAAAAACTGCTTGGTTCGATATTCACCCTGTATAAAACGAATTTAAAAAGGAAACACTCAGCAGGATACTAATTTTTTGAGTCCGGCTTAGGAATTACCGGTTGTTTTCTCTTTAAAGTATTTTGTAATTGGATCATTTTTCTTAAACTGTCCAATTTTTAACTTGAATTGAAATTTTTAATCGGAATTGTGATTTGAAGAAAATATGCCTAAATATGCAATATTTTCTAAAATATGCTCGAAGTTACCAAAATATGCAAAATATGCATTTTTAATTGGCTTATTTTAATCAAAAAACATTAGATATGCATAGAAAACCTACAATTTTGTTGATATACTTCTTAATAACAAATATGCATTTTGCATATAATCCGAGCCTTACTAATAAGTAATAAGTCTTTCACTTTAGGCACCCAACTCATCAAAGCATATTAAGAAAAACTTTCAATTTTTAAAAAGTTGAGTATTTTGTTTTTATATCTGATGGATGTTTCTAAAGAATATGTATATTTTAAAATCTTGTTAATTATCACATTGTAGTAGATGGGCCAACTTTTATTAAACTCAAAAATAAAATAAAAGTAGTAAAAATAAACAAACTAACTAAGCTATCACTTGGTATAACGGGTGTTTAAATTTGACGTCATAGTTGGCAGTGAGATGAATGTGTTGTGAACGGACAACAATTTTTCATACGCCCGGCAAGATGTCAAATGTCAGATTAATAACTTTCAATACGATGGTTCGTTCACAAACGAACTTTCATAGATAGCTTTGACGCCAAATTAAAAAAAACACCTATTATCTCTATTGTCCGTCTTTTGCAGATTAGTAATCATTTCTATTACTCTCTAACTCCGTTAAATTTTTTAGTTGTAGGGTCGGGGTCACCAACGTTAGTTAACTCTAACTTACAGTTAAAAACAATCGTGTTACTATGATTATAATAATTGTTGCTATAATCTTATTCGATAGTTAACTTAAACTTTTATTGGTGAAACCAGCCCATAATGTTTTGTATATTGGTAAATTTAAAAATTTCTTTAACGGAACTCCAAATTATGATTGATATAGAACGAAGTCTTGCATTTTCTCAAGAAAATCAAGAAATTCTCAAATTTGAATTACAGAAGCACTGAGGGGTAGAAAGTAGTACTATTTTTTTCTAATAATGTGATTGATCGATTGCTTACAGTTGGAGACAAAATACTTTGGTCGTCAATGTTACTTGAGTGACATTAAATTGTAAAGCATGCTTTAGGACTGTTAACCTTATTTTTAGCTATTGTCAATCATAGTTGACAAGTTGTATGTACATATTTTTGATAGGAAAATATAATAGCTGTCATTTGAAATTGTCATTCATTTTAACGTTAAAGCTTGAATTACAATAAAGTGTCAGAAAAGTGACGACCAATGTATTTTGTCTCCAAAATAAAAACAAAATTTTGAACTTCGTTATTTTTGAGAAACCATTTTTCGTAAATTAAGATTTTATTAGTAAATTGACAGATCAATTTTATGTTTTATACTGTTTTTATTATTTTATTCAAAATCATGAAGTATTAATTAAATTACCTTGCACGTGAAAAGTTGAAAGTTTGACATTTCAACCTCATTTAACAATTGATGAGTGATATGACAGTTCAAGTTAGGAAGTGATCACTTCGTTATCACTTGCTATGTAATATGTAAGATAATTTAGGTTGGGAAATGGCCGCTTCCACATGAACTAGAATATGTCATATTTTTTCAAATTTTAATAAATTCTTTCTTGGTCTTCTATTCTTTAAGGAACATAAAATAATAAATAAATATTAAATTAAATATTCACAAATAAATTGTGAATAATATAATATAGGCAAACCTTAGGGGTCATTGTTTCATCGTATATACCTTAATGCTTCGCGCCTTGGTCATCAAATTTCGCCCTGATAATGAAGTACTTCCCATCTCGGCATGTAATCTACTATTATTAAAATTTGAATTTACAATTTATCGATTTTGACATTTTACACCGAAATTGCTTTTCAGACACATCCACACTAGTTATGTTTTTGTTATAAACGATAAATATAATATACAGGGTGTTCCATTTTTATTGTTACAAACTTAAACAGACGACAGAATATTCAATTTTAAGACAAAAGGTTCCTATGAATGTATCAAAAAATGTTACGTAAGCGAGCTACACCCCTTGAAAGAGATGCGTTTTTAATGGGGTTTTAACACCATTGCAGAATATATAAAATTACAAGAGTTGGTAYAGCTGGTTACTTTTAAACACCTGAACGAATTTAAAGATCAGTTGTCGAAATTTTTAATCATGGGTCTCTTAAACGGTGAAACAAATTAAATTTTTAATTTTTATCCTCTTTATGGTCTGTAAGACAAATAAATTGTAAACTGATTTTATTTTTTTATTGAAAAAACGAAAGAGACCTCTTTTATTTTTAGAATTGTGTGGCTGAAAGTGGCAAAAACCAACCGCCAAAACAGTTACGGTACTTTTTACCCTAAATCCCCCAGTTTAGGACGCCCTTGAGTAAAAATTTCGACATTTTATCTTTGAATTCGTTTAAGTGTATAATGGTTATTAGTTGTACCCAATTTTGTA